TCTGTTATCAGAGTGCCATTCATCAAACTCCTCAGTCTGTTCAGTTCAGATCGTATAGCTCTCAGTTCACAATCTATTTTCTTTTTTAACTTCCAAAGGCTTATTCCTCCTTCCCCAGAAAAAGAAACCCAGCTCAGTTTTTTCATCAGAGTTCCACACAGCCTAAGAAGAGAAGAGGAAGAAAAAGGTCCAATGTGTACAACTTTCACCAATTTTTAGTCCCTTAAAGCCTGTTCAATGTTAATTTCTCTGGGATTTTTTTTACAAAAGCACCAGCTATTCTCTGTCTCACTGTTCTCTCAGTTTGAGCTTGGGCCAGCTTGGGCCAGCTTGCTGAACAGAAGTCTAGTTTCCTTTCATTTCTGAGGTGCGAGCTGGCACGCCAGATACGCCGCTGTTATCTCTTTTTGGTCATAAATTTTCACTCTCACTTGTTCTTCGTTTTAATGGGGTTTTTCATAAAACAAGGGCTTCCACTTACTTTGTTGTTGCATATTTTCGCCATGCTTCTTGTTTTCTTATCCTCGGTGACTGAGTTCTCCTGGCTTCCCGTCTTCGGTCTGTGCTTGTGTGAATTTTCAGAAGGAAGAAAAATCGAGTTGCTGCCCAATCTTCTACCTTCTGTGGCTCACCATCTGCTCCAGAGAGGTCTCTCCTGACCCCCCCTTCGATTCCCCCATTTCTAGGGGAATCCCAGGCCGAGCGGTTCCAGCTTTTCTGGGAGTTATTCCCAGAGGCTGCTGGCTTCACCACGACAAAGCTCCTCCTCTCCCAAGGAAGCAGCTCTCTGGCTCTCTTTCTCTCTTGGCACCTCCAGCACCAGCCCGAACATCAGCCACCTTAGCACCCGGTGGTGCTTCCTTCTCCTCCTCTTCGTCCTGCTTCAGCCGCCTCAGCTCTGGAGTCTGCCTGGGCTCACCTCGCAAAATTTGCTCCTCTGTTGTGATGGGGCTAGCTGCTGCTGAGTGTGCCTTTTTCTTTGAGGGGTGGCCCTCAGAGGAAGGTTGCTGGACCTGTGTGTGTGTGTGCTTGTGCATGCGCGTGCACCTGTGGTGCCCCCGCCCCGTTCTGTTTAATTTTGCGGGTACCAGTGGGGGCTTTTCTCCTTTGGCAAGGGTTTTTTTTCTCCTGTGAGTTTTTTTAAAAAATTATATTGTGCCCTCCTCCCCCCCAGCTAGGCGGTCGCTGGCACTTCCTCCCTTCTTCGCATCTTCGTCCTGCTGCTCTGGTGACTAGGCGGTTGCTGGCACTCCCTCCCTTCTTCGCATCTTCGTCTGCTGCTCTGGTGGTAGTGAGGAAGGAGACGGAGGGGGTTGTGGCCAGCGACGAGGGCTCGCATGGCCCTTCTCCTCCTCGGAGCCCCAGCCAGGCTAAGGAAACTCCTGGGCGGCTTCCTCGGGCTCTTGCTCTGCTTGGCAGAAAATCTGATGCGGCCCAGCCTCACCCAGACTCTGCCTCCAGCGGCCCCAGGTAAATTGAGTTTGAGACCCCTGGTAGTATACTGTTGACATCCAACTTTATTTCTTCTTTCCATATGATTCCAAGGAATCTGTAAAAGTGTCTGATGTCAGTAACAGATTGGATGAGAGCAAAATGAAGATAGAGGTGCTTCTGGTTAGTCAAATCGGAGAATAGAGATTCAGCTTTTACTAGGTTGGAGTCACATTCCCCCACAGCATGGATTTGCTCTGTGCACAGGTTTCAGCAGTGGCCAAGAGTGCATTTGCACAGTTAAAGCTGGAGCACCAGCTGTGTTCATTCATTAAGAAAGCTGATGTGGCAATGGTGACACATGCCTTTGAAGAATGCTTGGACATAGAATCATGAGATCTTTTTCTGCACTCAAATCTTATTAAAAGTGAATGGACTATTGCTTATGGAAGGAATAGTTGATATTTTTGAGTTAGTAGGTTAAGTGATTTAAGGCAGGACCTTAATATCCTTAGAATCCAACACTGTGTCTTCTGTTTAAGCATGGAGATAAAATAATCTGCACAAAAGGCTAGTAATATATTGCTTCAGTAGTAGGCGTTAGGACTACAGATGTATAAAAGGTGCTGACAAAGATCAATTCCCTGTCCCTAACTCAGCATTCTTGTTCTTCCTCACCTCAGTCTTGTCTCTAGAAGCTGTGATTTAAGATGGAACAACTCTTGTAAAAAGATGGCAGTAGCAATTGAGCACTTTCTTAAGACAATTTATCTTGGACCACTTAAGTAGATAGACACTTGCCTGAATGTTTATTTCCATTTACTGGAGGTCACATCAGGGTTTTTAGGGGGGTAGTTAAATTACTTCTCTGTGATTTACCTGAACAGGTTTTAGAAGGCAAGATTCGCTCAGCAGGTTTTAAATGTTTCTATAAGAGTTAAGATAGGGGACGTGGTGGCACTGTGGGTTAAACCGCAGAAGCCTCTGTGCTGCAAGGTCAGAAGACCTGCAGTCGTAAGATCAAATCCATGCGGCGGAGTGAGCCCCCATTGCTTGTCCCAGCTCCCACCAACCTAGCGGTTCGAAAGCATGCAAAATGCAAAAAAATGTGAGTAGATAAATAGGTACCACCACAGTGGGAAGGTATCGGTGTTCCATGTCTAGTCGCGCTGGCCACATGACCACGGGAGATTGTATTCGGACAAATGCTATCTCTGTGGGTTGGAAACTGAGATGAGCACCGCGCTCTAGAGTCCGACACGACTGGACAAATTGTCAAGTGGAACAAATTGCCCTGTGGATGGTGGCTTGGGAAACTCCCTCATGTTTGGGGGGTGGCCCTAGCCGCGAAGAGTGGGGTCCGCAGCCTGGAGGTACACCTGGACCCGATGCTCACCATGGAAACGCAGGTGGCGTCGGTAGTCCGCACCGCCTTTTTCCACCTTTGGCGGATTGCCTGGCTGCGACCTTACCTAGACACGG